CAGAATTTTGTTTCTACCTGTCCAATCTCAATTGAGCTATGCCAGTTTATAGAAGGGATTGCCGGGGTCTAAACTTGTGTTGTTAATCTGATCAATTTACCCTCAATATTCTCAAACTTGGAAAGATAGGAACTTATAAAAATCTCTTGATCCACAGATTGCAGATTTTCTGCTTTAATCTAAGGGGATGTGCTAAAGTCAGACTGAATCATTTAGGACCTATTTTCTTTCAAACATGTAGAAATTTGAAGGACTAAGACATAATCCTCTTGGACATTTGTTCATTCAAATGTCCATGCAAATACATGAGGGAAAGATGGAGAAATCCTTCAGGGAAAGAAGATGCTGTGACTTTAGATTCACATGGAAGCATTGTCCCCTCATTACACTATTATTTTTTGAAGGGAATCAGTATTTTTTAAATGAATGGAAAATATTTGATGCAGGCCAGTCTCTACATCAGTTTCCAACAAGCAGCTAACGTTGACAATTGCAGCAGCATCCCTGATATAGACACTGGTAGTAGACAGTATGTATTTTCAAAATGTTCCTTTAGGATCTGGATGATAGGTCCCAATAATCACATTATTGCTACACATCAAAATTGATTGGATGTGTATGTTTGTAATAAGCAGCTAGGGTACATAAGCCCTTGTCATCAATACTTCCACCATGAAGTTTCCCTCCATGACAGAAGCTGGCAACAGCAGGGATCTATGAGTATGGAAAAAGTACTCTACAGGTGTGTTCATACTGGAGTCTATGACTGCTGTAGCCATGGGCTTTTGTTCTGGATTACAGTACAGGATTTAGGTTCATTCTCATGAAAAAGATCTTAATCCAAGTGAATAGCACTTGGTGGCATTCTAACATTATAAAAGCCAGGCAGCATGAAAAGAGCTCCCAACTCAATCATATTTCTCCATGTCACACAGCCAAAGTAAGGGGTGTCTTCAGCAATGTGGTGTTAACATCTGGCTCCAGCATGCAGTCAACAGCATGAACAATAGCCTTTATGGTTCAGGGATTTCGGGAGACTCCTTGCTTAATAGAAGGTGGAAAGATCTAGCTTTCCTCTGGTACTGAGCTATTTATTCAAATGCCTTCTGTTTTCTGACACTGTCTTTTTCTCTTCACAGGGGGTACTTTCTTTAAGACTCCCTTAGCCTCTTTTTCATTCTTCTTCAAGATCCTTAAGTCACCCAAGGTTATAAGACATTTTTACAGAGTATGGCAAGATCTTTGAAGGTCCTGCTATGCTTTATAAACAAGTATCATCTTGGTCTTAGACAGTTAAGAGGACACTAAAATGAAACATCATCAGAGTATAAAACATTATGAGAAGATCTTGTCTTAGTTTCATTTCTAATAAAATACCTTGACTATAAGCAACTTAGAAGAAAGGGTCTTTATTAGACTTAAAATTCCACATTACAGTTTCTTATGGTGGAGTGAAGTCAGGAACTAGAAAAAGCTATTCAACTCATACCCTCAGTCAAAGAGTAGAGCAAAATAAATTCATGAATCTCGGTTTGCTTGCTTGCTTACACTCAGTTCAGTTTATCTACTCTTACATACAATTCAACATCCCTACCTAAGGAATGATTCCACTCACGGTGGTCTGAGTCTTCCTACAGCAATTGATATAAGGCAGTACTCCACAAACATGCCCACAGGTCAACCCATTGTAGATAATCCCTTAGTGAGACTCCCCCATTTGATTCTAAGCTTTGTTACAGCTAATCATCAGATGTTGTCACTTGTGCCAACTGTTGAATCAGCAGAGTACTGTCGAGTTCAGGCATGGGTGGGAAATGCTATGCTATTTAGGACTCAATCATTTTGAAAGGAATTCCAAACCATTTTATTGGAAGTACATACTTATTTTCCAAGTAGACAGATAATGAAAATGATTGAATATAAGCCTATCCTTAAGCCTTCATGAACTGTACCATGCACTTCAAACATAAAACTGTAGGCAAAAGGAAGAAAGCCAGTTTAAATTTCTCATTTTAACCTGCACCTAGAAGAAAGTGGATCTTCATCTACAAATTATGGCGAAAAGCTATTTTAGCATGATATAAGATAATATTTAGTCATTTCAACAACAAAAATATCTTTTAGAATACATACAAATTCAGTTAAAATGTCACTTATGAGCATGATCTGTGCAAAATAATTTGAAATTTGTGGATTGAATTCATGTCCTCAAGCATGTTAAGCATGTACTCTAATCCTAATTTGCCTTACAATCTTGCAAAAGGTTTAAAAAACAACTCGGAAATAAACAGTGAATCAGAAAAGCCATTTTAAACAGAGGAAGAAGAAGAGAGTGAAGACTCTAGGAGAAAATTAGATGAAGCAATGTTACTATGTATGCCTGTCTGTACGTAATGAGAAGGCAGTTGATAATGAGAGATTTGGAAATTATAGTTGTTACTCTAGATCAGGTCTCTTGTTACCATAGGTCAGGTCTCTTATAATCTTTGTTCCAGTCTCCGGAAGCAGAGGGGGGCTTGCTGGAAAGTCTGAAAAACACTAAACTGCTTTAGCCAAGTCCAGAATACATGTACGTCTGTACTTCGAGAAGAAGGAGGTAAAAAATTTTCAAATTTCTTACCTATGAATAGGCAGAAACAGAAGGGAAAGAAAATGAGTGAAAAGCCTTGTAAAGGTGTCATTTTTCATGAGGGGAATATAATAGGGAAGGAGGAAGCATGAGACTTGCCAGAGGAAAATGACACTTTTGTTCCTAAAATGGATTCACGAGGCAGAAATGGAAAGTGCCTAGTGTGTGCAAAAATACAGTAGAACTTCCAGTTCGAGATGGATGGGTCAGGCAAGAAAAGCATGGGGGTAGATAGAAAAGAAAGAAATGTTATAAAATATTCAGTGAAGGCAAATTGTATGTCACTGAATAGACTCAAACTACAAAACAAAGCCCTCCGTATAATGATATTTGGGGTTAGAAGATAGACAATAGACAGACAGATAGACAGACTAATGATAGGTAGATGACATAAAGATAGATGTATGATGGACTGATGATAGGTGGATATATAGATAGATATGATAGGAGATACATGATAGATATATGGAAAGATGGATTGGCGTATGAATAGATGGATGGATATGTCAATACTTCATATTATTGCCTATACATCAAGACATCAATGTGTGTGTAACAACGTCGTATCTCAGATGTGGTAGTTCATGAGCTCACAGCCAACCAAAATTCTCAGCATTTGTGAATCCAAGAGACTACACATGTCAAGACAGTAGACATGGGAACAAGGAAATGGCCTTTTATGGAATGAGGAGTCAAGTGTCAGAAACAAAGATTGGTTGGCATAAAGGTACAAATTAGAAGAAAACATTTCTTAACTTAGACGGATCTCATCAATGACAACATTTATGAGGTATGGCTTGCTCAATGTCACAAGATTACCACCACTTAGAACAGCTGTAGCTCCATTACTTTGCCTTGTCAATGAATGGGCTATAACTTCTGACTATGGGTGCTCTTAGTATCAGGTTACCTAGTAACAACTAAGACCTCCAGTCAAGACAACAGGGTTTTCCTGTTCCAACTTTCCATACCAAAACAGCTCGTGCCTATCAAGACTGCTTTTATCAATTAAATACAATGATAGTTTCCTAATACTGAACATTTAAGGGAACTGGCAAATAATTTAAATTATTAAATAAAACCAGTAGGGTAAAGTGAATGGATGGAATACAAGAAACTAAGGTGTGCCAGCAAAAGAGCAGTTTGAGTGGTGAGGGACGGCGGGCCTCAGCAGCTCTGTCTACGAGCACTACAGTTACCACTCAAAGATTCTACCAAATAGCTGAGAGAAAGCCTTTGGCCTGTCTGTTATGGTTTTCTGTCTCTTTAAGAGACAAGCCATGCCCACTTCCTCCCCCATCAGCTGAGGCAGGCTGATCTTCAGCTTCTGACCTGAGCTCGCTCTCTTTTCCATCTTCCTCTTAGAGAGGCAGCTTCACTTCTGCCTCTCTCCCCACTTCTCCGCTTCCCCCTTTCTCTGTCTCTTTCTCTTCTCTCTCTCTCTCTCTCTCTCTCTCTCTCTCTCTCTCTCTCTCTCTCTTTTCTCTCTCTCTCTGTCCCCCTTCACCTTTTCTCCTCCACAACCCCCTGAATAAATATTCAACCTCACTCTGCATGTCATGTCTATCCATGTCTCTGTCTCCTGCCCGCCTGTCATGTGTCTCCCTGCCTGGGACCATCCACTGCTTGGGACCGGCAGCTGTCTCTGCCTGGGACTGGCTGCTCACAGGGTCCGCTACTACCACCATTTGGGACCTACAGCATTTCTGTTGCCTACTGCCACTGGGGATCTTGCAGCATTTAAAAAAAATATATAAAACTGTCATTATACATCTCTCCATACTGAATAATAAGGGAGTATGGCTCTCTCTCTGTGGAGATCAAATCTTCTAAAATTCTGACATCACAAGACACTAAATGATAGAAAATAAATATACTACAATATTTTAAATTTCTCAATTAGATTCAAATTTTTATATTTCCTTTTGAGTCAGGTGAGGAGTCTCATTATTCATTATAAGTCCAAAATCCTGCAGTCAAATTTAACACTGGGGTCAGTATCTTAAAATCCAGGAGAAATGTGTCCAGAGTTGAAAGAGGGCATTTCTGCAGCGCTTAGAATATTCCAGAGCACAAAGTGAAAAATAAATGCAGATTTTTGGAGATCAGTTCTCTGACATAGTAATCATAGCAGAGATAAGCAGAGGTCAAGGAAGCCTCTGATCTCTTCTTGGCTAGAGTTGACAAGGGTGCCCCACAAGAAGCCCTCACAGAGCCAGGTGTTTGGCCACCTACAGGGGGAGCAGCAGCATTTTGCTTAGTTCTTGCCAGTGGCTAGAAATTTGCAACCTGGTCAAACAGGGTGGGAGGAGCAGAGTTGACAGCAGATTCCCCAGCAGGGTGGAGTCTGATCAGTTCTTAAAGTCTGGCTGGCTAGAAGGCATCCCCAGAGAAGACAGTGGAAGCTGAGGGCCCTGTGCAGGACTGAGCAGGTAAGCAGAGAGGACATGGCGTGGCTCTACACAGAAATGTCCATTCGCTTCTCTTGTCCTTTTCCAAGTGGTTCTTCTCTGCTAATATAGTGCAACCCATTAGAGATTTTTTCCCCATTGTTTCTGCTTTTTGTGCCATGACATCCTGCATCTCCATACCCAGCATAGAGAAGAGATCTAAACAGCACAGCGAGATAACACATTGCAGTTCATCTACTAAACTTTAGTTTATATGGGTCAGTAGAGCAAGTCCAGATGAGGAAAGGCATGTTTAAATGAGCTTTCTGGTTTCTGCTTTTGTATTTTCATCCTGTGCTGCCGTTGGTCACATTCACATTTACAGAAGTGAAAGTGTCTCTTTTGGAGTGGAGTTTCTTCCCCTTTCATTTTCTACAGCGTTTGCCTAAAAATAGAAAGTCGACTCATTTTTTTTTTTCTTTTCTGTGTTTGGTATACAGTTCCTGTTCCAATGTTCACTACTTTAGGAACTTGGAAACAAACGCAAACTCAAGCAAAAGTAAAACAAACTCAAGTCTTCTACTGTCCGGCTCTGCTTGTCGTACTGTGAAGTCATCTCGTTCTCAATGAGAGTCCTAGAGAAGTGGGCTTTGTGCACCTGTATATAAAACTTTTACTTTCCCAGTGGAGGACAGCTTTCTATGAATGTATCTATACCAGCTTCTAAACTTTGATCTTAGTATCCAGGTCAAATTTCCTCACTCCAGGGTTAGACTGACTCTTTGTTGTGTAACCATTAACTACTGAGTGCTGGGTAATTTATTTACTGGTTAACCTTAGGACAGTAGAATCAGAAAGTCGTAAATCTGTGATTCTTAACAAATGTGCAGCTTTTAGTAAGTCAAGCCCTTCAACTGTGAAAATTTAGCTACATAAATAAAACCATCGGGATACGATTTTCAAAACTTCAAGTGTGTCACTGAGGAAAGAATCAATTTCCATCAAACCACATTGATATTTAAAGCTGTTATGGAAATACCTTATGAATGTGACTTGATGCTAACCACAGTCTTTTGGGAAAAGTTAAATTGAACTTTATTTTATATAACAATGACAAAAGTGTGTTCAGATGACTTGCAAGCCAGCACCTGACATGTTTGTCTACCTCTGCAAAATTAAACCATGCTCAATACATGAAATATGAAATTTGGCAGTTATGAAAAACTGGGATCTAATGTCTTCATTTTCAAACAAATCATGTCAATTTACTTGGCAATGATAACCCTAAACAAGGCATAAAATGATGTTTTGAAACACTAATTGTCTTAGCTGGTGGTATGAATGCAGAATTAAGCAGCAATTAGTGTGAAGTAATCAAGTGCTCTCTCGAGGAGAAGGCCTTGGATGAGCATCTCAGCCTGTTGGAGCTGTGCATAGAAGGGTAACCCAGAAGAAGACCTAATTTCAGTGAAGAAACTCCTGTTCGGAATCTGCTCCTGCCTTAGGTACAAAAGCCCAGAAGCGGAAACAGCCACACTTTGGCCAGAAGAAAATAGATATTAAAATAAAGAAATTAAGTCATGAATCTGTAACCTCAGTATGCGGGAAGGAGAGTCACAGCTCCAGCTAAGCTTCTGCTGCCTCCTGACGCTCTGTCTCCTAGTATTTTTTTTAAGAGGAAATAATTTCACATATAGGCTATGCTGGTGTGTAGACTTTATGTGGACTTGACAAGAGAAAACGAGAATAAACTAAATCATTGATTGTAAGTCTCAAGAAACAGGATACAAAGAAATAGTAGGCTGCCCTGTGCAGAGGGTTTTATCTCTCCACGGATTTTTCTCTGTGGGTCTTACTCCACGACTTTTCAAGAGAAGCCCAGTTTGCCCTACATTCTCGGCCACACTAGATGATAAACGTTGTATTGGCCTCAGAGTTCATTTTTCATCTATTGTCAGTCTTTGGCTTCAAGGTCAAGGTAAGTAACTCCACCTTACTAGGACTAACTATATGTAGGTGCAAGCATACGAATGAATACTTTTCTTGCTTGTTTTTGGATAGGATCTGGCTATATAGTCAGGGCTGGCCTAGAACTTGTGATCCTCAGTCTATTCCCCGGTCAGGTTACTGTGATAACAGATATGTGCCACCATGCCCAACATGATTCACTTTTATTGTTCGCATGCTTGATCACGAGGTCAGCAGCATTAGTTTTCAGAGATGTATGCCCAAGTCGTAGTAGATGCTCTACTGGTAAACATTCCTTGAATTGATGGTTGAATAACTGTCATTTTTTTGCACACTTAGAAAGTCTCTACATTTACTCAAACAAATTCTTTCATGTTGTGTTCTCATAATGAGTTTCTGTACATTGAAATATGTATAAATAACCAGGAAGACGGTTTTTAGATTGCTGTTGTCTGAGGCGCGGTCTTCTGATATAGTGCAAGCTGGCCTGGGACTCACTATCTGGCCCAGGGTGATGTTGATTTCAAGGTAGGCCTCAGCCTCCATGGTGCTGAGACAGCAGGCCTGAGCAAACATTCCCAGTTTCATTTAGGAGTATTGCGCCAGCCTTTCACAGGCTGGAGGAGTGAGAGCAAGGTTAAATTGTGGCCACAGAAGATGTCAGTAGTGTTAACAGATGCTCCTGTGAGGATAGTGGGGTGCTGTTTGGATATGACAGCAAATTCATCTTAGAATTGAAAGACCCTCTCCCTCAGAACTCACATCTCCCAAAGAAATATAACGTGCCAGCACTCCAGTTAAAATGCCAACATAAGGCAAACTCTTGTCTCCGAATTTCACTAACGGTGTTTCTCTAATTGGTCTTCCTATGTCAGAGTGGGAGAGGGTCGCTTCTCCCGGGAACAGGTCATTCCTCATGTCACATAATTCACTGAGCTGTTTGTTTGGCTTCTCCTATTCAGCTGTCATTTTACCTTTAGGGGAAAGCCTGCATACATAAGCAACATTGCTTAGCAATGGGGTAACCATCATGAGAAAATAAACACAGTACGGTGCTAGTAGAATAGACTTTAACAGAGCCTGTAAGAACTCCCTGCAACAGGTCTGTGTTAAGGACACACAAAACAGAAAGGACAAAGAACAGCCGTCAACAGCTTTACAGAGCTCAGTGTATGGAAGCGTTCTGTGACATTCCACACAGGACCAGCCTGTATTTGTTCCCAGCCTTCACTGTTTAGCCACAACTGCTCGGCTCAGTGACCTTTTTTGCTGCTAGCGTCACGGCACACTTTCCATGTTTTAATAATCAATACTTCTGTTTCACTGTGAACATAAAAATGAGTCTCTTCTGACCCTATGCTCTGGAGCCCCAGTATTTCACAGTTTCCCTCTGATTCTTTGAAATTCATGATCCTGTTTCTACCTGGACTAATCAGTGTCTCTCCCAGTTCAAGCTCCTGGAAGAGTTTGATGTTATGCTCAGCTAAATACTATGGCCACTGCTTCAGTAGAGTTACAGCAAATCATCCACAGACACCCATGCATGGTTAAGTGTTTAGGCAAGGTCAAACCAAATGTGTCAAGGTCAGACCAAATGAGGCACAGTCATATCTATTTGTAGGTGGAGTTTTCCCGTCCAGTGAGCTGCTTCCAAATGACCACACAGAGGTCTATATTAATTGTAAATGCTCAGCCAATAGCTCAGGCTTATTACTAGCTATACCCTACATTTTAATTGAACCCATATTTCTTATTTATGGTCTGCAAGGTAGCAGTACCTTTGTTAGGTATAATTTGGGATGTCTTTCTGTATGTGTGTTGCTTTTATTGGTTAATGAATAAAGCTGTTTTGGCCAATGGCTTAGCAGAGTAAAGCCAGGCATAAAATTCAAACAGAGATATATAGAAAGAGTAGGTGGAGTTAGGTAGACGCCAGCCAGCTGACAAGAAAATAGAACATGTAGAAAATGATGTAACACCATGGCAACATGGTAATACATAGACTAATAGAAATGGAATAATTTGAGATGTAAGAGCTAACTAGAAATATTCCAAAGCTATTTGTCCAACAGTGTTGTAATTAACAGAGTTTCTGTGTGATTATTCAGGACGTTGTAGCTGGGAAATGAAAATGTAGTGTCTTCTCCATGTACAATGGCATGTTCATCTTGCTTCTTAGCATCTCGTTTCTCCCTGTACCATCAGTTTGATCACCCTGCCTATACTTTTTTTTTTGCCTGGCTATTGGCCAATCAGCTATTTTTTTAGCCAGTGAGAGTAACACATATTCATAGTATACAAAAGGATTGTTTCACAGCACTTATTCTAGCTTTCTTTATCAGAAGGTAGCCCAGGAGGAAGCAATTTCAAATCAAGTTGCAGGTGCAACAAGAATATTCTGTCTTTATCATCCACACATGTACCTGAATAACCTGTGTTCTAGTTAGGATTAAGTAGAAAAGGAAGGATGGAAGATGAAATGCAACTGCAAAGCTTCTTCCATGCCAGTTTTGTGGGGAAAAAACCCATTCTACATTCTTCTTAGTATAAGATGAAAAACAAATGTCACACTTGCTCTTCATTGCAGATTCAGTTTGCAGTGGCCATAGTTGCATCACTCTCTGGATGCCCAAGGATGTGGAATTGAATGTTTTCTATGTAAGACTCTGTCTTCTATGCAAGAGAAACAGTTGCCATCCAGTCTATGTTTTTCTTAGCAAATATGTCATGAACTCACAATCTTCTCTTTTCTCAATCCTATAACATCTTTAAAAATTATGTTATTACTAGTATAAGTAAGGTCATGTGCATGTTCCTGTGTGTGTGGGGGGGGGGATGCCATGGTGGACACCTAACCATCAGAGGAAAACTTTGGGAGTCAGTTTGGTCCTTTCATGCTGTTGACTCAGGGGCTTTCTTATTGTTTCTACCAGGCTTATATTCTAGGCTAGTAGTCCCAGGGAATTCTGGGTAGCTCTCCTGTTTCCACCTCCATGTTAGAGCAGGAGCACTGGATTACAGATGTGCGTCATCCCATCCGGGCTCTCAGAATCAAACTCAGGTTGAAAGACTTTTGCAGGAAGTACTTCCACCCGCTTTGCCATCTCACCAGCTCCCTGTTCAATTCTTATAATTCCTCACAGAACATAGTGATTTTCATTTAATGCAAATTTGTATAGCCAGTGTTGTGCCGAATAAGTACGTTTGCTAGTCAATAAGTATCCCAAAGCCTTTTTCAGTCACAGAAGTTTTCCATGACTAACATCTGCCCCTGCTTTTGTCACTCTATTTCCCCTTCAGTCCTACAGGGTATTCATTGACCAGTCTGAGGTAAGCTCCTATCCGGGACCTTTAAGTTCTGAAATACTTTCTTCAAGTTGAGATATTCATCAAGACAAATGCATAGGGTCACCCTGATGTTGATCACCTAAACCATCTCATTATTCTGTCTCCTTAGTTTTTAAAACTATCTACAACATTTACTATGGCATTTACTCTCCTTTTCTGCCACAAAATGTCGACAGTGCAGGAATTGGCACTTACAGCCATCTACCCTACCTTCCCACCAGTGTCAGGAGCCACATGAAGGGAGCTTGGCAAGTTTATGTCTTAAAAGGCCTAAGTGGATGATGCTTACAGAATGACTATGTGGAAATCAAGGGAGTCTAAGGAGGCCCGGTTATCTTTAATTTCTTTCTTATTCAACTTCAAAGAACTAAAATTTAGGGGAAATGTAAATCAATAAACCAACAAATGAGTGGAGTTAAAACATGCAATTAAACCTCCATTTTCAGGCCAGTGATATTGACAGCTCCATTAGTAAAACTGCTTGCTACACAGCTGGATGTCTCGAGTTCAATACCCTGACCCACAGCGCAAAGAGAGAACCAAATCCTAACAATTTTCCTCTGATATCTGCACATGCTCAGTGGCACATAGTTATCCCCATATGTAGGAGGAGGGCCTGCTTGTTTTTCCCACCTGCCCAGCTAACTTAGCCCTGAAATAACCACACAGAAACTGTATTCATTAAATCACTGATTGGCCCATTAGCTCTAGCTTCTTATTGGCTAACTCTAACATCTTAATTTAACCCATTTCTATTAATTTGTATATCACCATGAGGTCATGGCTTACCATCAAAGTTCTGCCATGTCTGACTCTGGCGGTGGCTCCATAGTGTCTTTCTGACTCTGCCCTTCTTTATCCCAGCATTCAGTTTAGTCTTTATTGCCTATCTAAATTCTATCCTATCAGGCCAAAGTAGTGCAGGAGAGTCTGTATTTTATCAATACTGTTTTAAATAAACGCTGATTGGCCAGGCAGTAAGTATAGGCAGGGCGATGAGAAAAGGAGAATTCTGGGAAGGAGGAAGCCCATTGCTCCTGATTCCTGCCCAGACACTGAAGAAGCAGAATGTGACCTGCCCTGCTGAGAAAGGTACCGAGCTATGTGCCTAACATAGATAAGAATAATGGGTTAATATAAATTATGAGAGCGAATAAGAAGCCTGAGCTAATGGGCCAATCAGTTTATAATTAATGCAGACTCTGGGTGGTTTTCTCTGGGACTAAAGGGCTGGGGGACTGGGCGGGACAGAAACCCCAACGAGCCCAGTCCTCATGTTACAGAACCATGTCCAATGTGTAGTAGGCCATAATGCTACACCAAGGCAGTTTTCTTTATTCATTAACCAATAGAAACAACACATAGACAGAAGGACCTTCCACACCACCCATATACATTTTATATATATAGTATATTAATTAGAGAAGTAAATTTCAGAAAAATAAATTAATAATAAACCTCCAGTGGTCCCTCAGAAAGGTTCATCGCACATCCCCAAACACGAAAGAGTTCTAGATGGTTAGAAATAGAATGCGGTTTCAAAAACCACCACAGAATCCTGTTTGCTCTGAGGTGATCAAGAAGCAGTAGGTGGTTAAGTTACTCTGGTATCATATGAAGACAAAGGTGACATTCAGAGAGAACTTTCCTCTCCAGTAATATAATTTGCATGCTAAAAACTCTTGTTAACGTTTAAGTTATCCATAAATTTAAAATGTTGTTATATGGAGAATTAGGTGTCTCTACTTAAAAAAAAATATCTTCATTGTCACAGCTTAGTGAAGTAGCTAGCTAGAATGAGATGAAACAATAAATTTGTGGCCTTTTTTTTGGATAAGAATGGAATAAGGTATAGGGAAATGGCTCAGTCACCAAAACTACTTGTTTTTTTTTTTTTTTTATAACAGAACCTGGCTTTGCTTCCCAGCACCCACACAGCTAACAACTGCCTCTAACTCCAGTGCCAATAATCGGATTCCTTCCTCAGGCCTCTCTGGACACTGCACACATAGGGCGCATATACATATATGTAGGTGAACAATCATGTTCACAAAATAAAAATAAATAAATCCTAAAATTGAAAAAATGATGGAAGGAGGACTGTAAGGGAGATGCCTCAGTCAGGAAACTATCTGCTCTACAAGTTTATTTCAGCTCTCCAGCACCTGCAGGAAAATTTAGGCGCAGCAACAGGCATTTGTAACCCCAGGATGAAGGGGAGGATAGAGACTAACAGATCCCTGGACCTCACTGGGATGCCAGCCTAAGCTATGGGTGAGCTCCAGGTTCAGTGAGAGCACCTGCGCTAGGAATGTAAGACCAAGTGTGTGAAGACAGTACCAACACTGATGTTCAGTTTCCGAATGCACACACACAGATTTGCAACGCACAAATCACATGCACATACACACAGAAGCATATGCATGCTTACATACATACATACACGACAGACATCAAAAAAAAACCCAGCAACATTAGCAACAGTAGCAACAAAAAATTCTTCTTCAATCTTAACCATTTTTGATTTTGTTTATTTAGAGAAGTTATCACCGTGTATCCCTGGGTGGGCTGGAAATCTCTCTGCAATCCAGGTTGACCAAAAACCCACAGAGATTTGCCCCTGCCTCCCTGTTGTGCCACCACACCTAGCGTAATATTTCTAAGTTCGAACATTTCTAAGTTACTACTGTTGTTATTTTATCTATAACAAAATCTTAGGGTGAGGTTTAAAGCGAGTAATTACACTGTCCTTCCACCATCTAAGTTACAGGGATGGAACTTATGTTTTCAGGATTGGCAGCAAGGGCCTTTTCTCTCGGTCCCCTATCTCTGGCCATTTCTGTTTGTTTGATTGGGGTCGGGGTAGGTTTCAGGACGTAGCCCATCCTCATGATGTAGCCTAAGATTGTGTCTCTCTCTCAGTTATTCTCCTACCTCAGCCTTCCAATTCCAAGATGATAGGTATGTACCACCACTCCTGGCTATGATTCCATTGTTTCTGAAACTGCAAAAATGGGAATTTGAGTTTAAAATCTCGAAAAGGGATAATACTCCCCAGAAAAGTGACGGTGGTTATATTGTTTCATCATTTTATTTCCTTCTCAGATATCAGCTTGTGATGGAGCCCTCGCCTCTTGAGCTCCCGGCTGACGCAGTACAGCGCATCGCAGCTGAACTTCGATGCCACCCGACAGATGAGAGAGTAGCTCTCCGCTTGGATGAGGAAGATAAGCTGAAGCATTTTAGGGACTGTTTTTATATCCCCAAAATGCGGGATCTGCCTTCAAGTAAGACTACAGGGAAGGGTTTTGTAAATCAATTTAGTAATTAATTTATCTCTGCTAAAACATAGGATTGTCATAAATCTTTGAAAACCATTGTTCTATGGCATAATAGAGCTCTTACAACTGTGTCTGAGAAAATAGCAGGCCCCTGGTGCTACCCTATCAACCCGTCCACCTACCTGAGACTCATATTCTTTATGTTTCTTATCCTTCCTGAATACACTGCTCACAAGGCGCTTTCACTGTCAACTACTTCTCTGAATAATACAGCAGCTGATTGAAAGCATAGGCAGAGGCGTTTGCTTGTTCTCGGCACTTAAGGCACAAAGCAATGCTTTTCAAAGCGATATTAGAACATGTCTTATTTTGTGGCATCTCATTGATGATAGCGTGGTGCTTGTCTGAGAGCTAATGCATTTGTGGCTGGGAGTATTAGGAGGCATATTATGTGAACAGCTATCTTTGCACGCTGTAAAAAAGGCAACACGTGTCAGAGCTACAAGACACCCACACTGCATTTCTCATATCACAAAATGGCCTGAATGGTTTTGTTTCGGGGAAAAAGTCCTGTTTGTAAACATATGGAGCCCAGGCACGAAGAGTATGAAGAATCTCATATTGAACTCCATTCCAGGTTGACTGGAATGAATCACAAAATCATCCTCATGTGATTTATACAGTTCAACTTCCTTTAGTTTTCCTTCAAACTTAATAAAGTGGGTGCCATTTCAAATACTCAGAATCCAAGAACCTCCACTAACATTACTTGGAATAGGACTGGGTCACATATTCTAATTTGGCTTCCACTGTATGAACACCCATGTGAAATGTGACACCTATAGGATCGATTCATGTGTGACTGCCATGCATCAGCCATAATTTTGGAAAGATGAAAGTGGAGTGCAAACCAGGTGTCACAGGAGGAATATTTTTGCCTCAGAGTTGGACACTTAAAATTAGATGAGATGTAAAATTTAGTTGTGGGAATTGTAGCATATTGTTTTCCTATGTGTTATAAATAGAAGACTCTGGAATGGAGATATGGCTCAGTGATTAGGTGCACATATTGCCCTTCTGGAAGAACAGAGTTCAATTCTCAGCACCCATATCAATGGATTTCAACTGCCTATAATTCCAGCTCCAAGAGGATTCAATGCTTCTGGTCACTTTGGGCACCTGGTGCACAGACCCACACAGAAGCAGACACATGTATAAATTTTAAAATAATTTAATTTTTAAATAGAAGTTTCTTGCACTGCCTATATAATCAGTTAAGAGTTTGTGTCATTTTCCCAACTCTAAGAATAATATCTACTTTGAGTTTTTGCAAACAGATCTGCTTGGGCAAGTAATGGCTGATTCTTAAAGAAAATAAAGAGTGATGGTACATTGATTCACTAATAATTTAAATTTGTTTTAATAACCTGAATTTCAGATAGTTAAAAAAAAAACTAATTTATCAAGACAAAGCATGGTTTCCTCACAAGCAGCCTGAGGGCGAATAGGGATGTGTAAGCTCAGTCTAGATTTCCAGCAGAATTGTTCAAAGTGAATACACTTTATAAACATTTTCTTGCATACTGTTATAGACAGGATCTGAATATTCATAGAGAGATGCTGGTATTTTTAATGCTTTACACTGTTCTGCAGGTTATAGCCAAACGTGGAAGGAAGGAAGGAAGGAAGGAAGGAAGGAAGGGAGGGAGGGAAGGAGGGGAAAGAAAGAGTGGTAGGGAGGAAGGAAAGGAGAGAGGGAGGGAAGAAAAGAGGGAGAAAAAGAAGAGAGAAAATGTAAGTGAGTAGTACATGGTGGTTGTGAGGAAAGCGGCCATAAGACCAAAGAAGTAAAAGTAATGGAGGTGAGGGAAGGGGCTGAGCTTCAAGACACACTTGAAATATTTATTGAAGAGTATATTTAAAATTAGCAGACATTGCCCCAGCCCAGCTTTACGGTATAGGTTAAATAGCAGTGATATGATTCATGTAATTCGACAACTACTCATCTAAAGAAAAAATACTGAAGTCTTTTGCTGTTTTACCTTGTGTGGTCCTGACTTAGAGTTCAGGAAGGTAACAGTTAAGTTTCACAGTAGTAGGAAACACGTGGGTACAATGGGAAGACAGGGTCAGGCATGTCTGCTTCTTTTGGAGATTTTCAGTGTTTACCTAATATGTCTCCACTGAACTGGAACAAAAGAGTGCTGATAAAATGTCTTTTTCTTTATTTTAAAAAGGTTGTATTTAAATGGATGTGTGAGGCTGCATTAGTTTAACCAGTCTACATACATGTAAGTGCCCTTGTGGACTGGAGGGCATCAGATCCCATGGAACTGGAGTTCCAGTGTGTTGTGAACTGCCTAATATAGGTGCTGAGAACCTGGCTTCTCTGTCAAAGCAATAAACACTCTCCGCTGCCAAGCCATCTCCCCAGCGACACATTCATCCTTAATAGCCACACGCCAAGCTAACAATTCTAATACTATAAAGGAAAATGAGAGTGGAATCAGAGAACAGCTAACAGCTGGGTTAACAGTGAAATTACAAATTTGAGACTCATCAACATTTAGGTAACATTTCAAAATATAGGCTTGAACATTAAGAAGTACACATCCACCAGAATAAAATTTCTGGAAGCAAAACTGTAAGCAAGAAACTGGAAAAAGCAAACTCTTAGCAGAGTAGGGGAAAGCAAGTCAGGGTACACAGAATGTGTGTAGAGAGACATTCAATGGAATGAGGGTGCTTACTGATTTCCACAGTCAGAGCCTGAATCCAGCAGTTAAGACAATGTTATTTAGTAGGCTTAACTTTAATCAAGTCAATGGAGTGATAGTGGGGAGGTATTCTTGCAGATGTAATTGAAAGAACGGAAACTGGAATGTACAGCCATTCTCCAAGAATCTTTCCCCTGAAAAGACGAAAACCAGTGATCACAGGGAGAGAAAGGAAACCTCGGATGTCTTTGTTCATGGCTGCACTTTAAGAAGAAGCCGAGAAAAGTGTGCGTGAGAAGTTATGTTTCTCAGCTAAGAAGAGTTTCTACTAGCTTTGTTGTCTGCCCCCGCATTTTCAGCTCATGGAACCCACAAACCTTAGATAATATAAACTGTTAAAGACAGTCTTTGTTGGTTCTCAAGAGATGGGGATAGTGGGCAGGATCGACCATTTCTGATAGATATTTCTTGAAAATTTTTCATGGCCTCATCTGATCATTACATCCACCTGGCAAGACAGTCCATTCCTTAATCTTCAATGTGGGAAAGAATTAGAATTAAAAATGTGTTTATCAAGAATCCAAGCTTTCACCCAAGAGTGGAGGCAAGGTCTACTTTCTCCTTCAGTTGTTCTCTTAGTTACATTTCTATTACTACAATAAAGCACCATGACCAGGGCATCTTTTTTAAATTGATATTGATTGAGGTCTACATTTTTATCTGCTCCCTCCTTGCCTCTCCCCTCTGCCCTTCAACCCTCCCCCAAGGTCCCCATGTTCACAATTTTCTCAGGAGACCTTGTCTTTTTCTACTTCCCATATAGATTAGATCTATGTAAGTTTCTCTTGGTATCCTCATTGTTGTCTAAGTTCTCTGAGATTGTAGTTTTTCTTTGCTTTATGTTTAAAAACCACCAATGAGTGAGTACATGTGATAATTGTCTTTCTGTGTGTGGGTTACCTCACTCAAAATAACGCTTTTCTAGCTCCATCCATTTTCTTGCAAAATTCAAGATGTTGTTATTTTTTTCTGCTGTGTAGTACTCCATTGTGTAAATGTACCACATTTTCCTAATCCATTCTTTGGTCAAGGGGCATTTAAGTTGTTTCCAGGTTCTGGCTATGACAAACAATGCTGCTGTGAACATAGTTTAGCACATATCCTTTTGGAACAATTGAGAATCCTTTGTATATATACCCAAAAGTGATATTATTGGGTCTTTTTTAAAAAAAATTTAGATTTATTTATTTATTATGTATACAACATTCTGTCTCCATGTATGCCCACACACCAGAGGAGGGAGCCAGATCTCATTACAGATGGTTGTGAGCCACCATGTGGTTGCTGGTAACTGAACTCAGGACCTCTGGAAGAGCAGCCAGTGCTCTTAACCACTGAGCCATCTCTCCAGCCCTATATTATTGGGTCTTGAGGAAGGTTGTTTCCTAATTTTCTGAGAAATGGCCACACTGACATCCAAAGGGGCTGTACCACCTTGCATTTCTACCAGCAATGCAGAAGTGTTTCCTTTTTCCCACATAAGTTGTCATCAGTGTTTTTGATCTTGGCCATTCTTACAGGTGTAAGATGGAATCTCAGAGTTGTTTTGATTTGCTTTTCTCTGATGGCTAAGGATGTTGAACATTTCCTTAAGTGTCTTTCAGCTGTCTTAGATTCCTCTGTTGAGAGTTCTCTGTTTAGGTATGCACTCCATTTTTTTTTATTGAATTATCTGTTCTATTGATGACCAGTTTCTTGAGTTTCTTTGTATACTTTGGAGATGCTACCTCTGTCTGATGTGGGGTTAGTAAAGATCTTTTCCCATTCTGTAGGCTGTCATTTTGTCTTGTTGACCATGTCCTTTGCTTTAAGGAAGCTTTTAAGAATTAGGAGGTCCCATTTATTAATTGTTTTTCTCTGTGTCTGTGCTTCTGGGGTTATATTTAGGAAGTGATCTCCTGTGCCAATACTTTCACGTGTATTTCTTACTTTATCTTCCATGAGCTTCAGTATGGCTGGCTTTATGTTGAGGTCTTGGAGAGAGTAGGGATACAAGGAACATACCTAAACATAATAAAGGCAATATACAACAAATCAACCACCAACATCAAACTAAATGGAGAGAAACTCTCAATGATTCCAAGACAAGGTTGTCCACTCTCTCCATATCTAGTCAATATAGTTCTTGAGGTCCTAGCTAGAGCAATAAGACATCAAAAGAGATCAAGGGGATACAAATTGGAAAAGAAGAGGTCAAACTTTCACTGTTTGCTGATGATATGATGGTCC